CTGGGCATGATAGGTCACACCTGTAATCCCAGCACTCTGGGAGGCTGAGGTGAGTGGATCACCTGAGGTCAGGAGTTCACGACCATCTTGGCCAACATGACAAAACTCTGTCTCTACTAAAAATACAAAAATTAGCCAGGCATGGTGGCGGGTGCCTGCAATTTCAGCTACTTGGGAGGCTGAGGCAGGAGAATCATTTGAATCCCGGAGGCGGAGTTTGCAGTGAGTCGAGATTACACCCGTGCACTATAGCCTGGGTGACAGAGTGAGACTCTGTCTCAAATAAATAAATGAATAAATAGGCAAGTGTTTAGTCCTAAATAAGTGTCTTTAACTTCATGAAAGCAGAACTCCTACAGGTGGTGTTTTCCGGGAACAAATTTCACTAATTGTGAAGTAACAATAAAAATCACACTGTGGGAGGCCGAGGAGGGTGGATCACGAGGTCCGGCCAATATGGTGAAACCCCGTCTCTACCAAAAAATAAAAAGACTGGCCAGGCATGATGGCGTGTGCCTATAGTCCCAGCTAGCTACTCAGGGAGGCTGAGGTGGGAGAATTGCTTGAGCCTGGGAAGTGGAGGTTATAGTGAGCTGATATTAAGCCACTGCACTCCAGCCTGGGTGAGAGTGAAAACCTGTCTCAAAATATGTATATATGATTTTGCAACTTCATTCAACTGGATCCAGCCCTTAGACAGGTCCTATCAGGAACATAAAAAGAACTCCTATAAATATAGGACAGCATTTTTTTTTTTTTTTTGAGATGGAGTCTCACCGTGTTGCCCAGGCTAGAGTGCAATGGCACAGTCTCAGCTCACTGCAATCTCTGCCTCCCAGATTCAAGCAATTCCAAGCAATTCTCCTGCCTCAGCCTCCCAAGTAGCTGGGATTACAGGCGCCTGCTACCACACCCAGCTAATTTTTGTATATGGTTTCACCATGTTGGCCAGGCTGGTCTTGAACTCTTGACCTCAGGTGATCCGCCCACCTCGGCCTCCCAAAGTGCTGGGATTACAGGCATGAGCCAGTGCACATGGCCTAGGATAGCACTCTTGCTTGATGCCCAACTAAGGAAAGACCTGTCGTGATGCCATCTAATTTTTATTTTCAGACACAGGAGAAACATGTCCTTCATTCACCAGGCTGAGCTTTCACAGTGCATTAGTTGGTACGGGACTGAATGTGAGGCTGATGCTCTACACAAGGAGAAACGTGACTTGCGCACAGACCATCAACTCCTCAGCCTTTGAGAACTTGAATGTGACCAAGAAAACCACCTTCATTGTCCATGGATTCAGGCCAACAGGCTCCCCTCCTGTTTGGATGGAGGACTTAGTAAAGGCTTTGCTCTCTGTAGAAGACATGAACGTAGTTGTTGTGGATTGGAATCGAGGAGCTACAACTGTAATGTACAACCATGCCTCTAGTAAGACCAGAAAAGTAGCCACCGTCTTGAAGGAATTCATTGACCAGATGTTGGTAAGAGAATTCTCTTAGATGATTCGGGGCCAAGTTGAAACTGACCCATTATCTGGAGGCATAAAGCCAAGAGATAGCTACAGTGAACAAGGGGCCTATTTTGCAACATTCTGCAAATGTGAATAAGCCCCGGGAAGGTGGGATGAGAGGCTCATAGGTATGTTTGTGCAGGCTGTGCACTCTTCTCATTGTGACATTGTAGATTTATCTATTTATTAGGATAAATTTCCAGCAGATGACAGCAAAGTGTCTTGAGAGACGGCATCTTTTTCCAGCTCACATAAAGGTGTCTTATGTGTGGGAGAGGTTCTGTCTAGGGGTTTCTTGGTTTAAATGCCGAGAGCTTCCTCAATGTCTAACATGTTCCTTTTGCTAGAAGTTCCAGCTTATCCAAAACATGGTCTGATGAGATGATTTATGTTTTTAGAAGATTTGCAAACATTCAACCTTAAATTTTACTTAGTGATCTATCTCACGAATCACCCCTTTTAACAACGACAAAAAAGTAACATGAAATCAGGACAATTTCAGGGAGCGTTGGGCCTGGTGGCCGTTTCGTGGCTGGGGTGACGTGAGTTACACGAGCTTTCCACTAAGCCCAGCCCTGGGAAGGTGAGTATTAAAATGGCTCATGACAAGCTGTCCCAGCAGCCTGTGGACAGACTGTTCCACCTTCACCCCAATTTCTTTCATTGGTGACTGCATTAACTGAGCCAGTATGAAGATAAGGGAGTTAGTAAAAATGTGCTGTTGCCCCTCTCCCCCATCTGGAAGGTTCCAAAGACACCTTGGCCTGTTTTCTAGCACAGGCATGACTGGAGACACCATGGCATAAAGATTAAAACACGGATTTGGAGTTGGGCCGACTTTTTTTTTTTTTTTGAGACGGAGTTTTGCTCTTGTTACCCAGGCTGGAGTGCAATGGCACGATCTCGGCTCATCGCAACCTCCGCCTCCTGGGTTCAGGCAATTCTCCTGCCTCAGCCTCC